TCTTTCCCAGTCAAAAGTTAATAATTTCAGAATTAAGCAGTCATATTTTAAGACAATATTTTCTTACCTTCATTTCTTTGAATTTAGTGCTGACAGCTCCCCCCCATATTGATTTCTATTTCTTAAGAATAAAATTTATAAATAAATCTAAAACATTTTGCCTTTATTCTCTAATCGTCACCAGTACACGCTGTCTTCTGGTATTAGCCCTCAGTGCACACATCTCATGGTGTATTTGTAGCTACAATGTATCCATATCCGCTTGTGGGCGTTACAAATGTTTCCAGCAGATTTTCAATCACAGAATTAACATTAAGCTTTGAGAAAACTGGACAAAATTAAGAAAACTGTGTTGCGGGTGATTGCCTTGTCAGGATTTGGACGTTTCCAACTGGAACAGCAGCTTTCTGTTAAAGAGTTGGAAACGACTTTTCTATCAAATCTCAGCTTTTATCTACTTCTGTCAGCAACAAGTTTGTTCTTCTCAAAGTCTTCAGTTCTTTTAAACAACAATAATAATAAAAATGCGACGTAAAAGCAATATTTAGCTCCTTTATAGATTTCACCATAAAATGATAAGTGTAAGAACTTCATTTAATGTCATGCGTTTGACTACCACAGCCAGCTGTCTAGATGCTGAACACAGTAGCAGGACTGTTCCAGGATAGCAGTCAGCTCTCCGTAACTTTTCTCTCTCCATGTAGGGAGGAGCCTCTCGTTGTTTAGAGCCTGAAGCTTCGGCGTCCCCTCCCGGAGGACGTGGTACAGGCAGGGCCAGCGGCTCTGGATGCGCGTCCTGGTCCTGCGATCAAGCGTGACACGCAGGACAATCTTCTTGGCTCGAAGTTCACGCAGGGCTGGCAGCTTAAGGCAGGAGAAGACCAAGCCTCGGCTCGGAGACACGTCCAAAAACTCCAGAGACTGAGACTCCAGGGTGTAGGAGATGCCGAGGTTCCTCAGCGGCACCAAGATGTTTAATGTCAGAGACTTGAGGTTAGGCAGGGATTTGATGAGCATCTGCAGCGTTGAGGGAGTCACGCATTTGAAGACCCAGAAGTATTTGAGCTCGAGGACTCGGAGCTGCTGGAACTGCGTGAGCAACGACACGGACAAATCCGACCAGTCAAAATGTAGGCGCATCTTGGAGATGCGTGGGCAGTTCTGGGTCAGCTTGCTCAGCAGCTCCTGAAAGCGGGTCACCTGACAAATCAAAGACAAAAGAAAAGAAAACAAGTGACACATTAGCGTTGCCGGTCATGGATGCTTGCATTCATATTTGCCTCACTTGCAGGTGGAACTTGAACCAGTTATGCAAATGAGTTAGCCGGTGCTGTCCAGGCTTCTCAGAAAACTCCTCTACTCCTTCTGTTCCTCTTACGATAGGGTTTAAATCTACCTCTCCCTATGGATTCATACTCACTCACTATGAAACACATGTAAAAGTGGACCGGCACTCCAAATGTAAAACATATCTTCGTCTCAGTGTTGCACCATGTGGGACAGCAGATGCTATATTTGAGCTTCAGACCTTAAAAGAGTTCAAAACCATCTGAATACTGATGCCATCACACCCTTTACAAAAAAATTCAAGCATAAATTCAAACTGAGTAAAAATCTTTAAGAAAATAAAACATCTACAGTTACGCGGACCACACGACACACAACATAAGAATGCATTAATCCTATAACAGCGGTTAAAGGTGCTGGGTGTTAATCTGAGCTGCAAGAAGGAATGTGGGGGTGATTACACTGTTTGTAGTTTAATCCCGGACACGTTACTGTGGAGGAATGTTTCTGTTACCTGGATTATTCATCCGCTTGTCGTGAAATGCATCCAAACTTGCTGCTGTTTTAGGTCATTTTGAATCAACACATTGGTTGGATTCCTTCATCAGCTAACGCAGAGCTCATCCAAACGGCTGCAGCCATCGCGAACAATTATGGACAAATAACCTACGTGCTTCTGACTCTCTGTTTTATTGCCTGCTACTTTTCGCTATATGTAGATAATAAAGAAACCCCCCCAAACCCTCAATAAGACTATGATGCGGTACGATCATGAGGACCCAGGTA